CAAAAAAAAAAAAAAAAAAAAAAAATTAACTTATTATATATGTATATTGTGGGGGGGGGGGTCCCTGAACCTAAGTCCCCTGTTCACAGCACCATCTATGGGAGGCCAGCTCCCACCTTTTTAAGGGTTCCTATGAGGAGGAGAGAGGGATAAGAAACTTTTAGATAGAAAGATAGAGGAGAGGAGACAGACAGAAACACAGGACAGCTTCAGGAGGACCAAGATCAAAATCCACCAGCCCCTTCTGTCTCTTCAAAAGGGCTTTTTATAACAATGTCAAGGGGCAGAGCAGAAGACCTCCCCTCGCTAGACCAGAGCGTACCGTACAGCCAGGTGTAGACCCTTCCAAACAGCTGGTAACCATGCCAGTGGTCAAATCACCCCCTTAGGCAGCCCTGCTGGGTAAAGCAAGCTCAGCTCTCACTAGGAACCTCTGTGGTCTCCACAGTGTACACATGGCATGTGTGTGAGTCTGGGAGTGCATGAGCTGAGGTCAGAGGACAACTTTTAGGCATCTCTTCTGTCTCCACCATGGGTTCCAGGGATCCAACCCAGGTTCTCAGCTTTCATGGCGATTGCTTTACTCAATGAGCTATCTCGCTGGCCCACGGATTGTATTTTACAATGCTTACAAAGACTCCAGACCTTCAGTCCCTACTTACTGTCCTTGAGCCGAGCTTGAAGCGCCTCTTCCATAAAGTAAATGGCTGCATCCCACTGCTGCTTGTCTGATATGGACCGGTCTTCCAGAGCGTTGTGCTGAATGACCCTCTGAAATGGTTAGGGCAGAAAATGTTAATTTAATTTATGTTCCCACATGTCAGTCATTTTATTTAAATCTGGTGACTTAGTAAATATTGAACATAACAAATAATAACAAATAACCACAAAGGGGAAGTTATTCTCACAGAAGCGCAGAAGCCCCTTTTATCTGGCTACACCTGTCAGTTTTTTTTTTTTTTGGCTTTTCGAGACAGGGTTTCTCTGTGTAGCTTTGCGCCTTTCCTGGAACTCACTTGGTAGCCCAGGCTGGCCTCGAACTCAGAGATCCGCCTG